GCTCACGGCCGACTCGCGCAAGAGCCACCTGCGCTTCTCGGCCAGCGGCAGCTGCTGCGACACCCTCCCGGCCCGGCCACTGCCCGACGAGCCCGCGCCGCTGCTCGGGGACCAGGACCCTGCCGGCGCCCTTCCCGTGGATCCCTCCGCTCCCTCGGTGAGTTTCCAAATTCTTTTTGCGACGCTTCCATTGACTTCTTCCCTGTCATTTCTTCCCGTCGTCTTCGTATAGCGTAGGAAGATATGCTAAGAGGCGAGGTAAGGCCCCGTTCATCTGCCTTGGTAAGGACACGTGAATTTAGGGTCCGTGTTCTGGCTTATATTTGATGAGCACGGTCGGAGAAGGGAGGTTGCTCTTGGCTGGAGGTTGTTTCTTTGTGTTTCTATGAAGTTGAATATCCTTGCTCACTTTGCTCCCTGAGAAGTGTAATTCTTCTCATCTTTCCGTATTCTCAATGGAAGTGTTGCATTATATCTACGTGGAATTTGCATTTTTTGCACGATCAGGTGTCTCCCCGACAGCACATGTGCATGAGCACATTGAAGTCCTTTTGAAATCACACTTAGCGGCTCAGTGTGTAAGATCGCTTTAAGTTTTTGGAATGCTGTACTTTCCAGGTTAGCCATGTGCTGTGGTTGGATGAGCAGTTCTTGTTATGCCAAGGCCTTTATGAGAGATGCGTATAGTTTATGGTCTTGAGAGTGTTTTATTTTAGTTACTAGCGCACATTTCCTTTGGGTATCAGTGATCGTACTCAGACTGTGAGCGGTTGTGTTTGCCGCTCTTCTTTCACTGGAGACTGACTGCAGATGGAGTTTTCTTGTTGCATAATGTTTGGGCTGGGTGAAATAATCTCTTTTCGAAGATACAGGTTGGATAAATTTTTTTTCTGCTTTGTTTTGGTTTTTGTTGTTGTTGTTTTTAAATTCTAGAAGGTGTTAAGATGGTGTAGAAATTCAGTTTATCGTAGTTTTTTCAGGAGACCCAGAGTTGTTTCCCTGCATTTTTCCTTTTTTACTGTACAAAGAAATTTCATTGAGGACCTGTGGGCGTGGCCATTGGTGTGAGCTCCTGTGTGAGTGTTGTGTGGGGTTTTTACTCCCTAGATACCCTTCTCTTGTGCCTACTACTGTTGAGATCATCTAAAATGTCAGGATATTGAACCTTGCAGAGAAATCCAACTCCCCTTCCTGGGGAATGTACATGGGCTGATGGTAGTGGATGTTAGAGACGTTTTAAAATGTTTTATGTGGGGTTTGATTACATATTCTTGTAGATTATGAGGGTCAGAGAATACGGTAGAATTGAGCAGGGCTGGAGACAAGAGTCCTGTGGCCTGAGTGTGGAGGTCTGGTGAAACAGGAGAGACACTGTTTGCTCTTTTCCTTGTTCAGTGTTCAGCCCTTCTTCTGTGCAATGTGATTTTCTTCTGCCATGATAACTTTGTCCCAATAGATCTTAGTTCAGCTGTGTGGGGAGCCCTGGGATCTTCCTCCTGTGTGTTTGCAAGTTGTCCTGGTGTTTTAATGAATGGTTTATTAGGTTCTTATGGCCTGTGGATAAGGGAATATTGGGTGGAGCCAACTCTGTATTCATTGCCTGCTAAGTACCTGAACTCTGTGCCTAACCTTAGTGCCATCATCATCATCAAGAGCCTGTGCTGATCCCCTTCCTTTCTGCAGATGTAAACCTCTTGCCTCTCTCCTGTTCATAGCAGTGGGTTTTTAAGCATTACTGGAAGAAATTCTCAAGCTTGTCACATACTCAGTTTGAGAAGTGAAATATTTTCTAGGGTAATGGGAAGCTGTGTGAGGAACTTTTCTTTTGGTGGCCTCTCCACCAAAGAAAGGGATTGAGGAGAGACTTGTTTGTGAGAAGGGAATGTTGGAGACAAGGCTTCTGGGTTTTTTTTTATTGATACCTGTCTTTAGTCATAACCTTCTGAAAATTGTCTAAAAGTGTCTTCATGTTTTGATATCCCATCATTTGGAGTTAAAGAGCCAGTTTGTGTGTTCAGCATTTCGGTTTTCTGATTCATG